AAGAAATGCAGACCTGGGATGAGTTTACCAGCAAAACCACTCTGGTGGAGATTCTGATTGGAGACAGGTTGCTGGGCAATGATCAGAAGATGGCGAATGCGGGGATTGACTCAGATACTGTGAGCATTGTGTTCAAACCACCGTTCACTGCGAGGTGCTCCGACAGCCGAGACATCGACTGCGATAGCGGGCTTTATCTCATTGTTGAAATCCCCGGCCACGAAACGTGCATCTCCGAAGGGGCCTTCGAAGACTGCACCATGTTGGCCAAAGTGATCATCCCAGACTCAGTCACCGAGATAGGTTGCCGGGCCTTTGCTAGTTGCTGTTCTTTGCTTTCCTCCAGCATCCCGAACTCAGTCACCCACATTGGGCGCGGTGCCTTTTTGAACTGCAGTGCTTTGGAAAATTTGATCATCCCGGACTCTGTAACCCACATTGGGAACGATGCCTTTCGGACATGCAGTTCGTTGGTGAACTTGACCATCCCAGACTCAGTGGCACACATTGGATTTGGTGCCTTTTGGAACTGCAGCGCTTTGGCAAACTTGACCATCCCAGACTCTGTGACCCATATCTGGGATCGTGCCTTTTTGGGTTGCAGCTCTTTGGCGAGCTTGACCATCCCGGGCTCAGTGACCCATATTGGGAGTGCTGCCTTCAGGAGTTGCAGCTCGTTGGTAAATCTGAAGATTCCAGACTCTGTGACCCACATTGGAGATTGCGCCTTTTCGGATTGCAGTTCCTTGACAAACTTGACCATTCCGGACTCTGTGACACACATTGGGGACTACGCTTTTAGCAATTGCACCTGTTTGGCAAACTTGACCATGCCGGACTCTGTGACCCGCATTGGGGATGGTGCCTTTCAGAGTTGCAGCTCTTTGGCAAACTTGACCATTCCCGACTCAGTGACCCACATTCGAAATGGTGCCTGTGACAGTTGCAGTGCTTTGACCAACTTGAACATCCCGGACTCTGTGACCCACATTGGGACCAATGCTTTTAGAAATTGCAGTGCTTTGTCGAACTTGACGATTCCGAACTCTGTGACCCACATTGAGAATGGTGCCTTTCACAGTTGCAGGTCGTTGGCAGACTTGACCATCCCGAACTCAGTGACCCACATTGGGGACTACGCATTTCGAGATTGCAGTTCTTTGGCGAACTTGATCATCGCGGACTCTGTGATCCACATTGGGATTTGTGCCTTTCAATGTTGCAGCTCTTTGGCGAGTTTGACAATCTCGAACTCAGTCACCCATATTGGGTACGGTGCCTTCGAATATTGCAGTTCCTTGACAAACTTGATCATCCCGAACTCAGTGACCCACATTGAAGACGGTGCCTTTGGCTTTTGCACCTCTTTGGCGAGCTTAACCATCCCGGACTCAGTGACCAACATTGGAAATCGTGCCTTTTTGGCTTGCAGCTCCTTAGTGAGCGTGACCATCCCAGACTCGGTGACCCACATGGGTTCGAGTGCCTTTGAGGGTTGCTCCTTGCTTCAGTTGACTATCCCAGACAATAACGTGACTGGATGCCTGACTGGAGGCCTCGCAGGCCGCGGAGCACCCTGCTGAGAGAAAGGCAGAACACAGCTCAGCTCTGCTTCGAGAAAGGCAGCTTTGCTGGTTTCGTGCCAGAACACAGCAGAACCAGCTCTGAGAATGTGACTGGGAACTAACCAGTCCAGAGCAGTTGGGCAACAGCTCTGGTTTTGGGCTCAGCGCTTCAAAACAGCTGTTGGGCTTGCCCGAACTTGTGACGAGGAGTACCGCAATTTGGCGGAGTCTGGGCGCGTGCATACCTGCGTGGAGGTCTGAGCTGGTGCCTCGGGCGGGACAAATGAGATTCTCGCCCTGAAAAAGAACGTCTGAGCCGAACGGTGATGCCCCATCCTAAGATTGTGACCTCTGAAATAGACACCACCCCAACCCAGAGGCTCCATGTATTGAATATATGCCGATCAGTTGGGGCAGCATATATGGCATATACATGGAGTGTATCGGCTAAGAAGTTCTGACGTTGAAGCCTCAAAATGGTTCCAAGCGCAGTGCCCAGGTCTGATGACGTTGCAGTGAGGATGCTGGCATGGGATACTTATATTGGCACACACTCGATCTTCCAACTATGTCACATGTTTGCCAAGTCCTTGGCTTGCTTTATAGATGAAGATCCATGAAGACATGTTGCACAGTTTTCCAGATCCATGCAGGTATAGAGTCAAACTATACATATTCACCCCATGTATGACCTGTTACTCTTCCATCGGAGCGTCATCCGAATCGTTTGTTGCCCCCCCCCTCAAGTGTGTCCACCGGGTGTCCACTCCTTGCGGCCTCGGCCCTGCGCCATATAGGGCCCTGCCCTTCCCTCGGGTGGGATGTGTTCACCCACCTGGCTGGGCACTGGGTCCCACCGGTGCCGTCCGATCCTCGCCACCGAGAAGTGCCGATTTCGCTGCCAGGCGCCATTGGTGCATTCTATCCTTTCGCAGGAAAGGATGAGGCCGCTTCTTCGGCCCACCCACCATCTTCACCCTCTCGCACCCGCACGAGCTGGGTTCGTTTTGGAGAACACCGTGTCGAAGGGACACGGTTTGGAAGGGACGTGGGGGTCGGAGGGGCGATGACTTCTGCGTAGCTTGGGAGCATTGCATGGCAGCGTAGCTCGGCCGTGCAGTGGAGCGTGGGTTCCGATTTCTGCAGAGATACCCTTCAATGATCCAGTGAAAGGTGATGTTCTTTGAAGTGGCACGGTTTCCAATACATAGTGGGGATTCGCTTTTCTATCCATTTAGGGGTCTATCTATAGGCACTGCGCACTGAGACTCTGTAAAAAAGAAAAAGGCACGACCAGCCAGGTAGGAAGTCTTGTTCCAAGATCCGCCACCCGAAAAGAGGTCGGACTGAAATGGTTGTATTTCGAACCAGGACATGTTAGAAAGTCTTGACTCGGATCTGAGCCGCCTAACATGTTGTGCTCCTTCCCCAATTTCCCTTTCAACTTGAGCGCAGTTGTCCATTCGAGCCCACGCCGTTCTCGCCCTCTTCGGACCTCCACCCCTTTGGCGCCCCCCCGAAGTCAAGTTAGAACGCCGATGCGAAACGCAGCGAAACCTCACGTTCGGTCTATCCTTCGGTCGAGACGCCGACCACGTCGGTCCTGTGTCTTCCACACTCGACCGACGAGCCCGCGCGTCGGACACCACGACCACGTCTCTGTCCGGCGACGCGTCGCATCGGCCGCGCGTCGTGTTCTTCGGTTCACCAACGAAGGTTGAAAGACCCTATAGGCTATCCCAGTTAGGTACCCCTGTAGTGTCCTAGTGACCTGGTCACTCTCCACCTCTGTTGGCAGTTGGACTTCTTCCAACACTTGGAGATGTTCGTCCGAGCGGAGAAGCCGCCGCTCTGTGGCCGGGACCACATCATGTGCGCCACGACCGGTCGGTCATGGTCGGACACATGCGCGAGATGCTGACCTGAACGGGGCTCGGTGGATTGTGGGTCGGTTCTTCGGACCGGTTTGGAGCCCGGTTTTGTTGGTTTCGTCGTTTCATCTCGTTTGGTGCTCACCAGGGTTGGATGTTCACTGGTTTGCTCGTTTCATCTCGTTGAAACGAGCAAACCCACCTATTTTGATTTATAGTCTTGTGTCTGATCGTGTAAATGAGAAGCTTAGGACTTTAGGAAATGCCTTGTGGCGCCGAATGAATATTGGTGCATTGGTCAGGTCAGGAATGAAGGACATTACTCTCCATGTGTCACCCTCCTTGGCTTCTCCGTCTCCCTCACGGGTCCACTTTTGTGAGCTCTTGAGCAGACACCTGGTCAGTCCGCAGTTTTTGCTGTACTTGTCACGTGTTTCAGTGGCGGGTACGACATACGATGACTGGTTCTCAGGAGCGGAATGAGGGAATGATTCCGATTCCTTGGGATCCAGCCACCCTCATTCCCTTCATTTCGCACCAGTCATTGGCATTTCGTGGTTGTGTTCTTCTGCGACGTACGCGGTTGTTCGATGGTCACCCCCGGGGAAGCTCCGTAGACCGGCGTCGGTCACCGGTGATGAGCCTGAGCACGGTTTTGGGTGGCCTCCACCCCGAAGGGAGTCGAAAGAGAGCCGAAGGGCGTCGGTCACACCGAAGCCAAAAGGACTCCTTTTTTCAGGCTGACATGGCTGAGATGGGGCTGGAGAGGGTTTGAAACTTCTTCGATTGGGAGAATCCTAAGCCAGCCCACTCCATGTATCGCAATATATTGACCCCATCTCCAGTGGGAGAGTCTTAAGCCATGTTTTTTGGGTTACAAGTGTTCTTTGATCGTGCACCAGACTGTTGCAGCCTGGCTTTATATAGCTATCGACACATTCTGGTCAAAGTATGATGCACACAAATGCCAAGATGTCCATTTTGCAAGGGTCTAGACGGCCTAATTAGATCTCTTTTTGACTCCCTACACCTCCAAGTACCTCCTCATAAGGTATTTGGACCCTCCAAGTTCCTCCACCTAGATCTCTTCTTTAAAAGGTATAGAAGAGTGGCTGACCCCCAGTTTGACCGGCTGGAATCCAGTCTAGCACCCAGTCAAACCTTTTCGGCCAGCAGAACTGAAGTCACACAAGTTGAACCATCCCTCTTGAGGTGACCACCTGAAGACTTCAAACTTGAAACCCGCCAGCTTAAGTAGTCACTCGTCACTAGTCCATATGTACACGGATTGTCTGGGATATCTCCCTCTTCAGTTTGTTTTATTCTTCCTCCTTTCAGGAGACCGGTTCTTCAAGACCTGGTTTCTTTGGGAAATGCGACCCAAACGCCTGTGTTTTGCGCGGGGAACATGTGCTTTTTCTTCTTCATTCGAACATCAGGGATCATACGGGTCTCCACTTCTACAACAGACCTATACCGTTTTGTAGTTTTCCTGCGTATTTTGTTATTATGCGTTCTTGCCGAAAAAGTTCATGAAACAAGAATGCCTAAAGGGAGAGACATGGCAAACATATACAAGAATCGGACATGGAACATCTTCAGCCATGGCCATGAGACTTTCAGCTTTGCAAGTCAATGGTGACATGATTCACTTTGAAGTCACGCCAGAGATGACAGGTCGAGAGCTAAAGTGGCAAATCAGAGCTGAGCAGTTTCCGGACGAAGTGACTCGCAGTACTACCGTGGTGGAGATTATTGTTGGAGACAGGTTGCTGGGGAATGATGAGACGCTGGCAGATGCAGGGATTGCTGCAAATACTGTTGTAAGCGTTGTCTTCAAACCAAACATCCTCAGATGCTCCAACAAAGGTGATATTGCGAGCTGCAGGGAAATGGACTCAGAACTGCAGGTTATTGCTGAAATCCCAAGCGACAAGACGACAGTCTCAGCTTGGGCGTTTGCAGAATGCAAGCAACTGGCCACAGTGACCATCCCAGACTCGGTGACGCACATTGGGAATTGTGCCTTTGCTCATTGCACCTCTTTGGCAAACTTGACCATCCCGAACTCTGTGACCCACATTGGGACTGGTGCCTTTATGGGTTGCAGCTCTTTGGCAAACTTGACCATCCCAAACTCAGTGACACACATTGAGAACGTTGCCTTTGCTAATTGCAGCTCTGTGGCAAACTTGACCATCCCGAACTCAGTGACCCACATTGGGAAGGGTGCCTTTCTGGGTTGCAGCTCTGTGACAAACTTGACCATCCCGGACTCGGTGACGCACATTGGAATTGATGCCTTTGAGGGTTGTGGGTCTTTGGCAAGCCTGACGCAATCTCAGTGATTGGGCCCACACGGCGGAAAAGAGGTGCGAGCTGAAGACGAACAGACTCGTTTTTAGAGATCTAAGAGTCTAAGAGGTGTTTGTGTAAGGTCGGTTGCATGGCTGTCATCCCCTAGATCCTGAGTATGGCCCAAGAAAAGAGAAGTCATAAGACATCATTATATAAACCTGCCTTTTTTTTTGCGGCCTCCACCATTTGGAATGATTCATGAAGTCTGAGCCCTCTGCAATCAAAAAGGATCCTTGAGCTAGCCTGCTAGGTGTTAGAGCTCGTGCCAGTCTCAACTCGCAACCAACGAGACCACAACACCCTATGTTAGCATTTCGCTCAAAGCACCATTTCGTTCAGCCCATCTTGCAACTTTACTGTCTGACCATTGGATACCTGCAAGGCCTGCAAGTCCTGGTTGGGTCCTCCGGGTCCGTCATGAGGTGTGGCGCCGTCACAAGGCCTTCCTCAAGTCTGGTCACAGAACTGTTTTGAGTCCAATGACCGAAGTGTTTTGCCCTAAGAATCCGGGCCTTCAAACAGATAGGGGCCCTGGTTCGGCCCCGGACCCCCGCGTTTCGGTGGAGAAGGTCCGACCCCGAACCCATGGAGAGCCCGTTCGGATTCTTAGGGTGAGAGGAAGTTGGACTCGAGGTTTTTCACCGCCGTGTCTCGTAACTTGCCCATCCTTGGTCTGTACCACTACGGCCGACTAAGGTCCGAACTTGAAGTGGTCTTTCAACCTCTCTTGGAAGTGGAGAGTCCAAACATGGTCATCTCCAAGGGTCTAGAGTCATGGCCATATGGCCGAACAAGGTGCCCAGCTACACATCCACGGCCCCTGGATGGGAACCAAACACCACCCCGTCTTCTTGTGACCCCTGGCATGGGTTTGTTGTTTTTGTTCTTCCTTTCTTGGGTGATCTTCAGCAGTTTGGCACCCATGTCTTGCGTGTCCTCGCTTTAAGAACGACTACCATGTCCTCGCTTTAATCACTTCGATCGACCCACACGGTCGATGTCTCGCTTCACGATCTGCAGCACAGCGATCCTAAAAGGCCCAGACACGACCTGTCTGGGACTGCCATGGGACTGCCGATCAGTTGGGGTGGTTGACTGGGGGTCTTTCTGGGTTCAATTATGTTCGACCGCCAAGTTCGGATCCTGTAGGTGACCTATATGTCACCTTTTTGTGGCCAAGACCATCCAAGTTCGGTGGTTTTTGGGGCACCCCGGTCATCACCTCCAAGAGGCGTTCTTGATAGACCCAAGAGGAGTTCGGAGGGTCCTGTGTGCAACATGATCCACCGGCATTGTAGCATTGCACGTGTCAGAAAAAAAATACTTGGCGAACCCGTTTGGAAACCCACAAACTGAACCATCAAGGACATACTTGGAGAAAGAAGCACCACCTGAAGCATTCAGGTTATCCCTTGCTTACTCTCTTGCAGTGGTGCTTGGCCGTAACTCTGGGTGCTCAAGGAAGACAATTACAAGACTCACTTAATATCGTATAATTGATCACGACTTAATATTTCAACGAGTCCCTTGAACTCCAATTTGGAAGTTCCAACGATTGTAAGTCACCTTGAATGTTCCAAAAACTCTTCCACTTCATGTCCCAAAAACCTCCGCTCTCCTTCCACTTCGAAGCTTCAAGCATGCATCCCTCCGCTTCTCTCCTGCCTTCTCTCCCGGTGAAGCCCACCATCCTCCACCCCTTCTTCCATCCGAACCCGGTCACCGTGCTGGTCGACCGTGTGGTCCGCTGATTTCGGGCGAGGTACCGCTCCTACCATTTCCCCGTCCAGAACTGCCGGGGGCGCCCAGCTCCCGTGGGCGGCTCGCGAAGAGCGAGGCTCCGTCCTGTCTGGACGAAGAAGTGAACATGGAGTACCTGGTCTGGTGAACGAACGCTGCGAAAAGAAGTGTGGAAAGCGAACGAGTTCGCAGAGAATGATGACTTAAGAGTACATCCTAGGCTGGTGACCCCGAGTCAGTAGGGACTATGGGGGGGCTTCCAGGCAGGTGACCCCGAGATCCAGCCAGGTGCTGTTGAGTCGTGTGAACTTGTATGATCAAACTCCAGTTTTACTCAGAGACCAGGAACTCCTGGAGTATCATGAGATCAGGAACTCCTTCTTTTCCCTGTCCGAGTCCAGGTCCGAGTCCACCAGTCCGATGGAGAAGACAGCTCCGACAACGGCTGACCTCTCCAAGTCGCCGAACGGGTGGAAATGGCGGGAGGCGAACTTCCCCCCTCAGCCCTTGTCCGACGGCCCGTTGGCCTGGCGGCTCAAAATGGGCCCTTTCTTTATAATAGCAGCATATAGCAGCCATAGAATCGATCTGATCGATCAAGTACGCCAACGAGATGTGAAAAGCAGATACGACATCTACCCTTACCCTGGAAGCCCAAGACTATTGAAAATGGTCCATCAATTCCTGTGACCCGAAGAAGGGCAGCTTTTGTTTACTTGGGTGGTGCCACATGTAGTCGAACTCATAGTCGACCTCTATGGTCTACCAGGGGCCCTGCAGACCATCAAAAACCTGGGTGTCCCTAGCAGCCTAGTTCATGAACTGAACAGCTGGCACCCCTCGAACTTGGTCGTTGATTTGGAACCATGGCGATGAGAATTTCAGCGCTCTCAGTGAATGGCGAGAGCTTCGACTTGGAGGTGTTGCCAGAGACCACAGGTAGAGAGCTGAAGCAGCAGATCAAAGAACTGCAGCGGAACTGGGATGACCTTACTCACAAAACGACTTCAATAGAGATCCTTGTTGGAGACAGCTTGCTGGAGAATGACACGAAGGTGACCGATCTCCATGACACGGTGGTGAATGTCGTTTTCAAGCCCAACACGGTGACATGCTCCGAGAAAGGTGCTTTGCGGGACTTGTTGGACCTCTCCGACCCAGGACGTTTGTTTGTAGTGGCGATCCCGAACCACGAGCATCGTATTTGCGAGAGAGCTTTTCAAGACAGCAGCATGCTGGGCAAGCTGATCATTCCTGACTCAGTGTCTCAGATTGAAGAGAGTGCTTTTGAGAATTGCAGTGCATTGGCGAGCTTGAGCATCCCAAAGTCAGTGATCTATATCGGGAAGAGGGCCTTTTGGAATTGTAGCTCCTTGGGGAGTTTGATCATCCCGAACTCTATGACCAACATTTCAGAAAGTACCTTTGCGGGGTGCAGCTCTTTGGCGAGCTTGACCATCCCAAGCTCAGTGACACACATTGAGAAGGAGGCCTTTGAGAATTGCCGTGCGTTGGTGAGCTTGATCATCCCGAAGTCAGTTTCCCACATTGAGGATGGTGCCTTTGGCTTTTGCACCTCTTTGACGAGCTTGACCATCCCTCACTCAGTGATCCACATTGGGAGAGATGCCTTCGTGAATTGCTGTGCTTTGGCAAGCTTGACCATCCCGGACTCAGTGACCCACATTGAAAAAAGTGCCTTTCGCAACTGCAGGGCTTTGGCATTTTTAAGTATCCCAAACTCAGTGACCCATATCCAAGACGGTGCCTTTCGTGATTGCAGCTCCTTGGTGACCTTGACCCTCCCAGACTCAGTCATCTACCTTGGGAATGGGTCATTTTGGGGCTGCCGCTCATTGGCGAGCTTAACCATCTCAGACTCCGTGACCCACATCGGCGAGGGTGCCTTCGCGTTTTGCCACTCCTTGACCAAGCTGACCATCCCGGACTCGGTGACCCACCTCGGGCCAGTCGCTTTGGAGAATTGCAGCTCCTTGGCGAGCTTGACCATCTCCAACTCCTTGACACGCATTGAAGATGGCACCTTTCGATTCTGCCACTCCTTGGTCACCTTCACTCTTCCAGACTCCGTGACTTCGATTGGGAAGAAAGCCTTTGAGAATTGCAGTGCTTTGGAGAACTTGACCATCCCGAATTCGGTCACTCACATTGAGGAGGAGGCCTTTTGCAATTGCAGCTCGTTGAGCCCTTTGACCATTCCATCGATGACCCACGAACGCACCCAACACCGGTGAGAACGTCGCGCGGTGGTTCCAACGCCCAAGGCGAGGCCGCGGATCCGCCACGGAGCCGTCGAGCGTGGAAGGAACTCATCACCCGCAAAAAAGGAGCCACTCAGAGGTGGGGAGCGAACCCGAACGTGACCGGCGATCCCAGGAACCGGTGCCCCAGGTGACTCACGGATCCGACTCGTGACCTGGTCACGAAAACCACCTCGAAAGAATGGCCCCGGAATCCGTCGACCGGAAGGGCTCGGTTCCACCGAAGGCTCGCCCCGCCAGGACGGCCCCGCGCGGGCGACGGGTTCGGGACGTGGGTTCGGGAGACCGCACGAAGCACCGCAAGGATTGATCGATCGGGGCCACTTAAGAGATGTATAACCCCTAGAAGTCCAGGAACCGACTATATTTTGACCAACTGAAGTAAAGCATATTCCTGGACTCGGGTCACCTAAAGACCATTCTTTTGATGGTCTTTGACTCCCAGGGTAACTGTATAACCTTACACCTCCAGCAGGTGACCTCCGACCCGGTTCGGTATGACTGGAGCCGACGGAACATGGCACCCGGTCCCCGGTCGTCCCACCGAGCCGACCCGGTTCGGTACGAAAACGGTTCGGCCAAACGGGTCAACACATGACTTGAGATCCCGAGGGTCCTCAGCGGTGAGGACGAAATGGAGCGGTGATGTGTACTGAGATCATGCGAACCACGTATCTGGCAGGCTAGGGATCAGAGATTATACCTGGACCCTCTGTTTTCGGG